AGGCAGCTCAGAAGGCTGAGCTGCCTAGTGGTTAGAGAGCCTGGCCCTCAGCCCCCTGTGTGGTTGAGGCTACTCAGTCTTGAAGGCCAAAGGGGTAGGGGGACCTGGGCCCTCCCTCTCCAGCATGTCTGCACCCAGAGTCCTATGCACATCAACCCTTGAATGGGGCCGCGAACTGCTTCCTACCAGTTGGGTCAATCTGGGGCCTCTCTAGTCCCGCGTGCAGGACAGCTGCTTCCCGCAGGTCCCGTTGGGTGGCGCTTGCCACGGGGCCAGGGCTGCCACCACGTTTCTGGGTTCTTCTCAGCCGTCACCTCAGAGACTGGGGGCTCCCTGACACTGGCCCTGACTCCCAGACGCCTGCCCTGCCTCGTGGTCTTGCCTCTTGGCCAGTCAGCCCCATACTGGGCCAAGCTCTCTCCTGTTCTCCTGCTCCCCAGGCCTGGCATCCACGGCGGGTACCATGGGGCTGGGCTGCCTGGGCCCCTGGGCTCTCCTTTACCCCTCCGGTGCTGGCTGGCAGTCTCTGCTTCGTCCTGCTGGGGCCGACCACTCGCCCATCTAGCCCAATACCCTTTCGCCAGGGGCCAGGGGCAGATGTTTCAGAGGGTGTGAGCAGAACAGGGCATCCCTCTCCTGCCGTCCAGTGCCAGCTTCTACCAGTCAGATGTTTGGGGACACCAGAGCATCCCTGAGTTGCACCCCGGCCATCGTGGCCAACAGCCATTGAGGGACCTGCCCTCCAGAAACTTATCCAATTCTTTGTGGAGCCCCTTTGTACTTTGGCCTCCACAATATGCTCTGGCAATGAGTTCCACAGGTTAACGCTGTGCTTATGTGAGGAAGTACTTCCTTATGTTTGCTTTAAACCTGCTGCCATTACATTTCATTGGCTGACCTGTTTCCTTAAGGGGTACAGAACACTGCCTTGCTCACAAAGGGAGTGCAGGGGAGACTAACCCATTCCCCTCCTTATCTTGTCCACCAACTAGGTCAAATATCGGATGCTCCAGTTTTGGCTCTCTAGTCACCGTGTGAACTCCCGCGGCCTTGGAGCGCTTCTGCTCATGAGAGCACGTCTGCAGGCGCCGCTATGGCAACAGTGCCATGATCCCAGCTCTGCTCCTCAGGGATCAGTGGCCCAGCCCAGGCGCAGGGCAAGGGAGGCTGCTGGGTTCCTTCTCCCTGCACTGCACTTGCTGCGGCCACCCCACGCTCCTGGGGAGCCTGCACGTTGCTCTGGCAGCTGCCCCAATAGATTCTGGCCCCTCCTGGAGGCCGGTTGCAGCGCCGGCAAGGAGATGGGTTACAGAGCTCTCCCAGGGAGCACAGATGGGGGTCCCAGCAGGCGGGCGGGGAGACGAGGCGTTCTGGGGAGCACATTTCGGGGGCCAGGCAGTCAGTAAAGCAGCTGTTCTGGCTGGAGGGACCCCCCCATGGTCACCCACGTGCCCAGAGCCTCACGGCTCCAGTGCAAGCAGGCCCTGGGCAGCCAGGCAGCGGGAAGGCTGCGCACAGCAGGGGCT